AGACTTACAGAACACTATTGTGAAGGAACTATTTCTGGATTGATGTCTTATGACATAGAAAATTCCTTTTATAAAGGCTTTGGTTACCGAAAAGTGAGATGTTCTAGTGAAATCATTTAATCAATTGGGATGATAACTATACCTTATTTTTAATCATTTAAAAATGATTACATGACATCAAACACATAAAACATTAAAATCCCCTTCCTTTGACTGAATGCTCCTATATACTTTCTATATATTAACATTTAATTTCTTTTCAAATACTCTTATAACTCAGATGTTCACCCACCCCACAAATCAAGACAAACTAAAATTAAGGTGGAAAGAGTTTAGAGTACCATGAAACCAGATAAGAAAAGTCAAGGGAAAAAAAAGTAAAATAACCTCATTTAAAGAAAAAGGAAAATACAAATGAAAGTGCTTTAGCTGGGTGTGGTGGCACATGCCTGTAATCCTTGCAACTGGGGAAGCTGAGAGGCAGGAGGATCTATTTGACATTTCCACCTTAATATCTAATAGAATTAGAATTCACCATGGCTAAAACAGTATGTGAACCTTGTTCTGCTCTGCAATCCATGTCTTGTCTTTTCTAGATCTACAAATGACAACATGTGTCCACAGCTGTTTTAGTCAAAAACCTACAAAATTATCTTCAATTCCTCTTCTTTATCCACCAAATTCAATATATCAGCATTGCTGTTTACTCAAAATTAATCTACCTCCATCTGCACTGCAGTCAACCTGGGTCAAATCACCATCAACTCCTATGTCAACTACTGCAATGGGGTACCCTTACCAACATTGCTTTCACTGTTGCCCTGCACAATTTACTCTCCACCCAGCAGACAATAAACCTTCAAAGATACCATTCAATTTCGCTTCCTGAACTTTACAGGAACTGTTCATTTCACTTAGAATAAAATCTTATTTCCTCATTGTGACCTGCATGGCCCCACACTATTTGCCCTCTGCTTTCCTGGCTGATATTTTTACCATTCTCACCTCAGAGTGCTGGTTCTTAACCTGGGGTAATTTTACCCATCTCCCACCATCCTGAGGCCATTTGGTAACATCTGGAGACATTCTTGGTTTTCACCACTGTGAAGTGCTACTGGCATCTAATAGATAGAGGCCAGGGATGCTGCTCTCAACACACTATGACACACACAGCAAAAAGTTATATAAGGTTCAAAATGTCAATAGTGGGCTGGGGTTGTGGCTTTGTGGTAGAGCGCTTGCCTCAAATGTGAGAAACACTGGGTTCAATCCTCAGCACCACATAAAAATAAATAAATAAAATTAAGATATGTCCATCTACAACTAAAAAAATATTTTTTTAAATGTCAATAGTGCCACATTTGATAAATGCTGTATTAGGGGCCTGTTTTTTTTCTCAGTCCAGGACTTTCATTATGAACTCAACTGTGTATTTCCAAAACACTATTTTGTATCCCTAATTGCCAATGTGACTGTTATTTGAAGATATGGAGGTGATTAACATAGTAAGTGTGGGGCCCTAGAATGATAACTCTGGTGTCTATATAAAAAGGGGAAAGGATACCTACAGACACAGAAGCCATGAGAAGACATGCCAAGAAGGCAGCCAGCATCCAGCAAGCATGGGGGGCTGGGGAGAGGACAAGGATCATACTGGAACCATGATCTTGAACCTTCAGCCTACAGAATTATGAGGAAATACTTTCTAATGTTAAGTTGCCCAGTTATGTTGTTGTTGTTTTTTAAATTGGAGCCCAAGAAAACTCTTGCCCAGGTTTTAATTTATTTCACTTCCTCTAGTCACATACATCTCAGTAAAAATATTCCAACCATCTAAAATTAAAGTATCCCATCAGCAGAGGAAACTATCTAATATACTATTGGTAGGAAGATCAATTAGTACACTCCTGATAGAAAACAGAATGGAATTTCCTCAAAAACTAAATATATAAATACCAAATGGTCCAGCAATCCCACTACTGAGTATATATCCAAAGAATATAAAAATCAGTCTGTAGAAAAGATCTGTACTTCTATTTCACATGATTTCATTTACACATGGAATCTAAACAGGCTGGTTTCAAAAAATAAAACAGTAGTTACCACAGGCTGGGGAGAGTAAAGAAGAAGGGAACATAGAGATTAGTTAATGGTTATAGCATATCAGCCAGACAGGAGTACATTTTTGGTGTACTATAATACATAGAAGGGTCATCAGTCAGCAAAAGTGTGTTATATCATTCAAAACAACTAGAAGATAGGATTTGAATGTTCTCAATAAAGAAACGATGAATGTCTGATATATGAATAACACATAAATATCCTGAATTGATTACTACACAATGTGTGAATATGAAACTTCATACTGTACCCTGTTAAAAAAGAAAGAATATTATCTATTAAAAATACATTTTTAAATAGAGTAACCTATTCAGTCACTACCTAAACATCCCTCAATTTTCTTCATAGTGCTTTTCATTAACTAAAATTATTTTATTCACCTTTTAGGGGTAGATTGTGAGCTCTGTGAAAGTTAAAAGTATGATTTTGGATAAAAAGTTCTCCATTCCACAGATGACATAAACCCACATTAACTACAGAGCAGTAAGCTGGTTTAAGTAGGCTAAAAATATTCACTTTCACTTTGCAAATCAACTACTTACTTTTTAGCGCTACTTTTCTTGCAGTGAAATATTCATTGTGTGATAATGTTTATATCAAAAGTACAAGTGAAATGTTAAACCTTATTACATTCAGATTTTTATAGTTACTTTGTACATATTAAATGATTTGGAGGGGCTGGGATTGTGGCTCAGAGGTACAGCACACGCCTAGCATGCATGAGGCACTGGATTCGATCCTCAGCACCACATAAAAATAAAATAAAGTTATTATGTACACCTTATAATAAATAAAATAAATAAACAGAAAATATTTTAAAAAATGATTTGGAGTGACTTAATTTTATAATATAAATTATCTAATGAAATACTTACTTTCTCTCTCTTTCTTCTTTAAACGCTTTCTCCTCCGATCAATGGAAGCTACTTCAGATTTTAAGGACAGATAATGTTTTCTGATTTCTTGCAGTTTTTCTTGAAGAATTGTGATGCGTTCAGCACTTGTCATATTTTCTAGATCCGCTGTCAATTTATAAAACTTCTATTAATATGTACTTTGGGGAAAAAAATTTGATACAAAAAAGAGAGCATAGAGTGTGGCTGTAGAATAAGGCCGAAGTAGATAAAATGAACATACTTTTAAATATTTGTTTCCTGAGATTCTTTCTCTATTTTAGAATAATACCTTATGCAAAAACACAAATTTGTTGAATGAATGAATGAATATGTACAGAATCAAAGACCTCATAACCTACTGTGCTAAAATCCCTAGTCATACAAATAGTAGCACTACAGTGTATGATTTAAAAATATCATACCTAGAAATAAGATGGGAAAGACACCCAAATGTTAACACTGTATATATTTCTGAGTGACAGAAGTATGCATAAATTGTTCTCTTTTGCTGGGCGCAGTGGTGCACGCCTGTAATCCCAGTGGGTCAGGAGGCTGAGGCAGGAGGATCACAAGTTCAGCACCAGCCTCAAGAATGGTAAGGCTTGCTAAGCAAACTCAGTGAGATTCTGTCTCTAAAAAAAAAAAATACAAAGAAAAAAAAAAAAAAATAGGGCTGGGGATGTGGCTCAGTGGTTGAATGCCCCTGAGTTCAATCCCTCATACCCTCCCCCCAGATTCTCTTTTATCTTTATAATTTTAAAGAGATTTTATTAAAATATGTATAACTTTTAAATTGGAAGAAAAATTTAAAAGATCTAAAACTCTTAGGACATTTTCAATGTCGTATGAATACTCTGTGAGAAACTCTGCTGTAGCCTGTTTTTTTAAAAAAATGAAATTTCAGCCAGGTGCACTGGTGCAAGCCTGCAATCACAGTGATTTGGGGTGGCAGAGACAGAAGAATTGCAAGTTCAAGGCTTGCTTGCCTAAGATACTTAGTGAGAGACCCTACCTCAAAAAGTAAATGAATAAAAATACAAAGCACTGGGGTGTAGCTCAGTGGTAGAGCACCCCTGAATTCAATCCCCTGTACAAGGAAAATTATATAATTATTCTGGCAATTTCTCACATATATTAAGTATAGAGAGAAGTATCCTTACCCAGCTTTAGTAATTTTTCAATTTATGGCAAATCTTGTCTCATCTGTATCCCTATCCCAACACCATATTGTTTTAAATCATATTCCCAATATTGTATCAGATATATCAACTCAAGTGTTGAGACTGTCCTCGACTCCCTTAAAATTTTTCTTTTACCAAACCAAGTGAGGTCTATACGCTGCAATTGATTAGAATTCCTCTCAGGTTTGGTAGATTCCTTTTTAGTATTTGCATCAACAGTTACTAGGAGATATATACATACATATACACATAGACATACATAATAGAGTTTTATTCACCCACAAAAAGAATGAAATATATCGTTTGCAGGAAGATGGATGAAACTAGAGACCATTATGTTAAGTGAAATAAGTCAAACACAGAGGTAAAGGGATGAATGTATGCTCATATGGAGAAGCTTGAAAGGAAAAGGGAAAAGAAAGGTAAGGGTGGATCTCATGGAAATCAAAGAGATCGAGAGAGAGGAAAGGGATAAGGGGATGGGGGGAGAGGGAGGAGGGAAGAAGTGCTGGGAAGAGATGTTGGTCAAATTATATTGTTATATTGTGTGCATGTACAAATATATAACAAATCCAATCAATATGTACCACTATACTGCACTAATAAAAAATGTGGAGAAAAAGTTACTAAAATTAAGTTTCTGCTGTTCAATTTTTAATGCACATCACTTACACATCTGAAAACTCCACTTGTAAACTTTGGGTAATCGATTACTAGGCTCCTTGAGATCAGGGTCCTTATCTCCATTCTTTCCACATTTTCCAGGAGACTGCATTCTTGCAGGAGATTTGGTACTGTGAGACTTCATTCCAGTGGAGGCTGATTTGACTGGCTGAGTCTTACTTACACTTTCACCAGCTGAAAGTTCTTCACTATCACTACTGTTTGCTGAAAGAAAAAGAAAAGAATTAACAAAAAAAATGTAACAATGAATTTTGGCCCAGATTTTAGTAGCTACCAAAGTTAACCATTTTAATTTACCACTACAGTAAACAACCTGCCTATAAAACCTAGAAAATCACATGCAAATGCAGAAGTTATCTTAATTAAGAAAAAGAAAAACAAAACTCTTCTTACCTGCCAATACTAGGTTTTAAAAAGTCATAATAACCTTTCATTATACTAAGTAGACTGTTAAATAGTAATAATTGGAATAGTAATAATTGGAATGGTTTTTTTATTCTATCATGTTAATACATAAAGTGGAATGTACCGTGTTTTAAACTAACTCACTGTAGAAACTCATTTCAATAAATTCAGGTTGTGTGCACGTTAACACTTGGGCCACAAACAAATAATGAAGCATAATCATAATATTCAATAAACAATTCCTTGGGGAAAAAACTCTAAATTTTGACATGTATAATGAATTTCTTCTTAAGTACCTGCTATGTTACAGCTTGTTGGCTACAATAAACCCATCGGTCTCCCCTGGTAAACATACTCCATAGTTCATGAAGAATGCAGAAGTCTGTGTGATAATTATGTCACATCTGCCTTTGTTAGTTAAGTTTCAGTAATGAAATGGAAATATATAACCATGACAGCTTACCAGGTGAACAGGTGATAGAACTGCTGTAAATTACCTTTTTCTGGATAAAAAGTATTATTTTGAGATTCCATCAGAGTTAATTTACTAAACTATCCTCAGAGAATGGACAACTCATTTGGATTTACCATGCAGAAGCCCAGTAAATAAAATGGGAAAATACAATTAATGGCTATATCTTTGTAAAGATACATGTTTACTCATTAAAGATGGGCACTCTTAGAAAATATCATTCAAATGGCAAAGTCTTGAAGACAAAAACATCACAGGATAAGAAAAATAAGATACACCAAATAACTTGTGACCTGTCATGTGCTTATTGATTCTTCATTAACAGCAACCAGAAAAATAAAAGGAAAACCCAAAACAAACCAAAAAACAGGCTCTCAAAGTCTCAAAAGTATTCCAAATAACAAAGGTATAAAGCAACTCCTCCCTTTGTGGTGTTTGGGAATAAAGAAACTCTACCACTCTTTTACACATATCTTGTACAACTCCCCTCCAGGCCCAGCCCCCTCTGCTGCTCTGGAACCCCTGGAAACTCCTAGCTAAGCTGCCCAAGGATTGGCCCCACTCTATGCAGTGGCCTGCCTCAGCCTGCCTTTCGTGGCCTTGCTGAGCACAGCCGCCCGGGGCCCCAAGGGATGCCATATTCACCGCCTGGAAGTCATATGGGCTCAGCAGAACCTCGGGGAGCTGGCCGAATAACCCTTTTCTGCACTGAAGTGCAGCCAAGCCGGCTGCTAGCAAAGGTCAGGCAGTGGAGGTGGCAGGAAGTCTCCTGGAAGAGCAGCAGGAGGTCAATGTGGGGCACCTGAAAAAAAATTCTTTACATATTTTCTGCTTCTTATGTTGTCTACAAAAAAAAGAGAGATCAAATGTGCAGCCCTCAGAAGAAATACAGTATTATGTTCTGTGCAAGTTGATGGAGAGAGTCATTACTAATGTCTTAAACTGGAACATACTCAGCCAAAGTATTATGGAGCTGCTCTCAGGTCACATGGTTTGGAGTGCCCAAGATATGAGTCATAGCCTGGAATTGTGGGAATTATACCTCTGAAGCTATCTTGATTGTTTACTTGAATGCTGATTTCCTTGAAGAATTACTAATTTATTTCACTGTAATAAAATTATATATGATTGAAGTTATTTCATAATATGAGATGCATACAATCAAGTAGAATGAACTGTGAAACATAAAGCTAACAAAGATATTGGTATTTCATTATGCTGGCTACATTTTAAAAAGAATTATGTGATCATTCACCAGCAATCAATACCAAGGCTGAATAATACCAACTTGTTTAATCGTAGAATATAGCTAGAATCAGAAAACTTCTATAATTAACTTTTTTGAGGATGGAAACAAAATCAAAATGTTGAACTATACCATATCCTGAATATCCTTTTCTTAATGGGAGGAAAAAATACATCAGCTATTATTTTTGTATTTTAAAAATTAGAGGTTTCACACTTACTGCCTTTTCCCTTCTTTTTGTTGTTTACCACTGTTGCTTTATGGCTTCTTTTCTGCTTTTTTGATGAACTGCCTCCTCCCTGAGCGTCTTTCACTCTTTTCTGACCCGTACAGGCTATAACAGGAAATAAGTAACACAAAATAAATCAAACATTCCCTAGTTATTTAATAATTTTACATTTTAGAAAATAATTCCAAACTACATATTCTCTATGAGATTCATAAATTATCACAGAAATCACTACCAATTTTTGATATACTGTCATTAATGAAGATGAATTCTTATGCATAAGTTAAAGTGGTTTTGGAAAGCAAAAAAGCTTACATATAAACTGAAAAAAGTTCTGAGTAGTCTAGTAATTCAAAAATGATGAATTTATGAGTCTAGTAATTTAAAAATGGATTCATACTGAAAACCTGAACTTATGATTTAATAAAACCAAAATATTAAGATTTAGTTTAAATAGCTTAAAATGTTAATGAATTAATATAGTTTTAAAATAATTAGTTTAAAGAGCTTAAAATGTTAATGAATTAATATAATTTGAAAATAAATACTCTGATATTAATGAGAAATTCTGGAAGAAATTCACACTTGTTTTTACCAACTTATTTAAAAAACTTGGTGCTTAGGGCACTGGTTAATAAACACGATTCCCAACTGTGTGTGTGTGTGTGTGTGTGTGTGCGCGCGCGCGCGCGCTCTCACGTGTGCACACACACACAGATTCAAATGGGCAGAGATGATTTAGTCTGTCAGCAGACATGATATTCTAATTATTCTGAGCTAATTTTAATCTCTCTTAAGGTATGAGGAATATGGTAAGGATGCAAGCTTTGTAGAACTAGCATTGCAACATTACTGCTGAAAGCCCATCTAGCCTTCTGCTTGGATAGTGCAGCTTCTAAGACAGCACGGCATATAAATGCAATTGCAGTAGCTGTACTTGAACATCCCAATTGCAACTATATTTTTTATTTATTTACTTCAAAAAAATTTAAAAAGACATGTTTTAAGAAAAGATTTATGAGAAATTTTTAAATTAGACAATCTGATCTAGACTAAAAACCTAAAGCAAGCACACTAAAATCTGACATGTTATATGAAACATATACCCTCTGGTGCTCTAACTTCACAAGAGAAAATGTGTGTTTCAAAGCCAAGGCTCAGTCTAAAATGTACTTTAATACATCTGAACAAACTAGTTTATAGGAAAAATGGTGACAGAATATAGCTATGGCAACATCAGAAGACACTTATATATATACAAAGTACTAATTTGATTTCCACTTTCAAGTACTTCTGAAAAAAAATAAACAAAGTATTACTTTAGGTTATTAAGAAAAACATTGGTCCTTCAATTTGGGGGCTATGCATCTAAGGAAGCATCAAATTCCTTTACAAACTTTCCCAAGTTAATTAGGCTTGAAAATCAGTTTGACATGGTTGTCTGCTGAAAGCAAGTGCCTGGACAGTTAGTTGGTTGTTCCAAACCCCTACATACAGTATTTAGTTAAGGGTGGAGGGTCTATCAATAAATCAAAATATATGTGAGAAACTGAACATTACAAATGCAAAAACAATGTCACAGAAATCTATTTAAGGTGCTCATGCCATACAGTAAACCAGTGTAATAAATTTTCAAACAGGCTTGGCTTTGGGCCTAGGTCTAATTTCTCACATGTGTTCTGGTTCCCTTGATATATCATGGATGGTTCAGGCAAAGCACATTAAAACCTCAAGCTTTTAAATGTATTCAACCATCATTATTTTCAAATTACATTCCAAATTTTTTATTTTATAGTGTACACACAAGTATGGCACTTAAATGTCACAATATAAGGAGAGATACTGTGAAAGCATTAAAACTGTAGGTGGGAAGATCCTAAAGTCAACACATGCTTTTTCTTCCTCACCTTTTCCAGTATGTTCTGGTTCTGGCTGATTGCTACTGCTGGAACTCACACTGGCATCAAAGCCTGCAGGTGAGCTATTCCCTTCAGAATGGAGGTCTTGCAGCTCTCCCCCGACACTCTCCACCTCAATTGTGCTGTCAGTTTCACTCTTGATACTCCGAACCTCTTCTTGGTTTGGAGCCAGGGGCTCCGACACTGTAACAGAAGACTGCTGCTGACTGGCTTCTGTAACAGTGACTGATGAAGGCGATTCTGGTGTAGTAGGAGGAGTATTGAGCACTGAGTTACTGCCACTACTTGGAAATTCTGCTTTTCTGTCACTGACTTCTACTGCTTTTTCTTCAATGGGCTTGCTATCGACACTGACTGGCGGTGGTTTTTCTAGCTCTACACCAGGTGAACAACTCTCCTCTTCAGCCACAGTCTGCAGTGATTCCTCTGCTGCCCCTTCTTCTGGAGCAGGATGGGGTGGGGATGCTGCAGCTTCAGTATCAGAGTCTGAAAAAAGCTCCTTCAGTGTTTTTTTAGGCCACTGTCCCTGAATACTTGACCAGACATCTTTCCGATCTTTAGCCCTGCTGTTCTGAAGTCTTTCATCAGAATTATTTAAAAGTTTTATTCTTTTTTCTGCTACTTCTGAAAATCCTGAATAAAAACCAGTTGTCCGCAGAGATTTTCTTTTTTCCTCCAAACCGTTGTATTTCTTCGTTGGTGTCATCTTTGCTTTCGATTTTTCTTCATCATCTTCATCTGAAGAGCTGTTGCTACTGTTTTCTATGCAAAGTGATTCTTTGCTCTTGGCCCTCTCTTCCTTTTTACCAGGTGATCCCGTTTTTAAACAATCCTCTGTGTTGCAATATCTCCTTTTCCCACGTTTTATTTGTGACTTTGAAGATTTATCAGTTATGTCCTTCTTGACATCTTTTCTCTTTTTTGTGACTTCATCATCTTCTTCATAATCAGTATCTTCTGATATTCCTTCTATGTCTTTTCTTAATCTTTCTGGAGACTTAGATACTGGTTTGGACATTACCAAATCTGCATGGACTTTGCTTTCTTCCAGCAAAGACAAACTGTTCTGTTCTTCTTTTGAAATAAGTTCATTTCTGGTATGTGTCAAATGATCCATCTTTGATTCCTCTTTGCCATTATTATCTAGGTCCTGGGCACCTCCTTCATCTTCCTGTTCACTGTCTTCAGCAGAACTTTCAGAAGCTAGAAAACAAGAGGGAGAAAAAACACGATGAGAATGTGAACATAAGCAATGTCTTCTAAGTGCCAGGCATTTAATTTAACAACTCCTAGGTTTACAGTCACTGCAGCTTTTATCCCCACTTCATAGGTGAAGAAACACTTTCCAAAAAGTGAAAACACTCACCCCAAATGGAAATGGTCTATAATATCATGATCATAGTGTTAGTCACACCACTGGATCTCTCTTGCCAAACTCATCAAATTATAAATACAGAAGTTATAAATTTGATTTTATGCAAATTAGAACTCAATAAAGCTAACTGTACATGAGCAGAACATGGTACAAAAACATGCAGGAAATAGAACTCTTAAAAAAATAAAACCAATTTAAGCCAGGCAGGCTGGGGCACGCTTATAATGCCAGCAACTCAGAAAGCCGAAGCAAGAGAATTGCAAGTTCAAAGCCAGCCTCAGCAAATTAGCGAGACCCTATCTCAAACTTTTTTTAAAAAAAGCTGGGAATGTAGCTCATGTGGTAAAGCACCCCTGGGTTCAATCTCTGATACCAATAAATAAATAAATAAATAAGAAGCAAGTTTAATTTAAAAAATTTAAAACATTAAGCATTAAAGAAGTCAAATAGCATAAGTGTTAAATGTATATAGTCAATAAAAGAATCAGAAAGCACAGAAATTTAATAAAAATTAACAGAAAACTTTTAAAAAATTAATTAAAAGCCCCCTCCAAACTTAAAAATATACTGGAGTATACTGTACACGGTACAATACTGAACTAACTGGACAAAAAAATGGAAGAAATAACCAACGAAATCATTCAAGAAAACTGTGTGAAACACAATTACAAGCTCCTAGAATGACAGAGTACACACCACAGGTGCAGAAAACACATTTACACAAGGTGTATCTCATTATGGAATTTGAGGACATTAAAAACAAATTCTTTGGGGTAGGGGAGGGAGGGAAGCAAAACAAAAACCACTCAGCAACTTGGGAGGTTGAGGCAGGAGGACTGCACTGGGGCGAGGCCAGATCTTATCTCAAAACAAAAAATAACAAGGGTTGGGAGTGTAGCTCAGTGGTAGAGTGCCCCTGGGCTCAATTCCAGTACATGATTAGGCCATGAGGGTACACCCTCATGAAGAGATTAATGTCACTGTCACAGGGTTAAGTTAGCTGCGCAACAGGAGTGGCTTTGTTACATATAGCTTTGTTACATATAGCTCTCTCATCATGTGATGATGCCCTCACCAAGCTATTATACAGCACAGCAAGAAGGCCCTCACCAGATACCAGTGACCTGACAGTAGACTCTTCAGCCACCCCAACTGTGAAAAATAATTTTCTTCTTTATAAATTATCCAGAGTACAGCATTCTGTTATATTAGCAGAAAACAGACTAAACTACTCTATCATAAATAGAATAAAGCCATTTGCAAAAGTAAATAAAAATACTTTCAGTGTCTAAAAATTTACTTTCCTTCTCTTATACTCATCTTCAAGGAGTTACTAGAAAATGTGCTATACCAGGGAGGCCTGATATCAAGAAAGGAATTTCCAGTACGACATTGAAGGGAGATCCCTTGACTGGATCTTACTATCTGTCCATCCCACCCTAGAATGAATGTATCTTTCCTGGGAAGATAGCTGGAAACCAGTTCAAACTAGTGTAGTGTTATTTCTAAAGACAGTCATACTGAGGGCCAATATATAGTCTATTAAGGGGCCTACAGCCATTGTATAGTCTTTCTTTTTATTCTTTATATCGTTTTGAGTATATGCTGATGAAATTCCAACTTTCCCTCCATGTCTTATTGTGGTACTACCTAGATCAGCTGACATCATTTACTTATGAAAGCTAGAAGTCAATCAAAGGAAGCCTATTCTCAGAAAACACAGAGCATCCTTCTGTTCCTACAGAGCATATTTACTAGTCATCTACTCCAAACTGTTTCAGACATTCTAAATGTGGTGAGTACCTGTTACCCAGAACTTGTTATGACCTCATCCAACTGAATTCCCTGGAGAAGCTTCTGTAACTCTCAAGAGAAGCCAATTCCTAATCAGATACGACCTAGAGAACTCTACTCAAACAGCATTCTGAGGGAGACTCCACCGAGCTTTTGAACAAAGACAGGCTCATGTCTTCTGTTCAATTTTTAAAAATCTAAATAATATTCTCTCTGGTGGCACATGCCTCTTATCCCAGTGGCTTGGGAGGCTAAGACAGGAGGATTCCAAGTTCAAAGTCAGCCTCAACAACTTAGTGAGACCCTGTAACAAAATTTAAAAGGGCTGGAGATGTCTCAATGGTTAAGTGCCCCTGGGTTCAATCCTTGGTATCCCCTTGACACAAGAAAGTGAGAAGAGTGAGAGGGGAGAGGGGAGACAGGGAGAGAGAAGGAAGGAAGGAAAGTAGCTGGGTGGGTGATCACACACAAGTCAAGAGTGTTAAGTACTTCTGGGGATTTTAAATAAATAAAATTTGCTCATGACAGTGGAGATACACTAGTATCCATAATATTACAGTCCTTCAAATTCTACATATATTTTCCATAGATTATTCTATCACATATATTAGAAAACTTGTAAAACTCAAACTTTCAATATTATACAGCATTTGGCTAATTGAAAAATAGTTTCATGGGCTGGGGATATGGCTCGCCTGGAATGCGTGCGGCCCTGGTTCGATCCTCAGAACCACATACAAACAAAGATGTTGTGTCCACCGAAAACTAAAAAATAAATAAATATTAAAAATTCTCAAAGGAAAAAAGAAAAATAGTTTCATGTAAATATTCACCTAAAATAAGGGACAAAAACCAATTTCTATTATATTCAAAATTCTAAAAAAAATCAACAGTCTCAAAACATGAGCAATGTGAAAATGTTTTTAGGAATATAAGTTCTCTAAGGGCTTAGTTCAAAGATCAGATGTCCCTCCTTTCCTGCAAAGTGAATTTAACAAAAGTCTTACTGCTTTTGTTACTTGATACTTTTAACTTCATTCTGCCTTTTATACTAAGCTATAATACCACCATAAAAGAAACTTTAACAGATGTAATCAAGATAAACAGAGTTTGGTATTCTTTAATACTGTCAGTACAGTTTTACAGTCTGATATTGTTTAAGATACACTATTCTTTACATGGCAACAACAACAAAAAAAAGTTCCTGAAATAAACGAAGGGTGAATATTATATTTTAACTAAAAATTAATGGTGCCTCAATTAATGACCAATTTTTTTTCAAACATAAGAGATAACAAAATTCTCACTAAAAAGCAATCTACTAATGACGATGAATTATCTTTATATATTTTAACTTACAGACCAAATACTTGCATGCAATAAAATATCTGCTTTTTTACCTTGAAGTCCATTAAGGATGGAAGTAATTTCTATGGATTTAATATGAGCTGTATCAGAGTTTTTGGCATCAGTGAGATCCAGTTTGGATACCATTTCAGGAGATGGATTTGTCTGAAATGGTGGTTTTGCCAAACGTCGAAGTTTACAGTTTTTTGGAGAATATTTTTCATCTCTGTCTTTTTCTTTATCTAATTTATTCTGCATAAAGGGAAAAAAATGTTGATCATACAATATCATAAGGAATTTATAATTTATATTTTAACTAATACTTATAGGATATATTGTTATTTAACTATTCAACAGAATATATAAAGCCCCCTTTCAAAAAGCCAAGGTTTTTAAAAATTTATTAAACAAAATACTATAAAATGAGCAAAAAGGTTTTGTATTTACCACGTAATACTGGGAATCAAATCAGTAATCAGACAGGAATTTTAAACCAACAAATAAATATACTAATAATTGATATTATCAAATCTTTAAAACTAAAAATCACAGTATGTTCAAATTAAATATTCAGGCACAAAAAAAGAAACACAATTTTAACCTGTTTGTTTTAAAATTTCATACTCTCATTATAAAGTGTGGGATGGAAATGACAATATTCCATATTTTCATTCAAATGACAGCTTTGAAAAACTCTAAACAAATGATCTGTTATAAGATCAAGTTAAGGGAAATTTTCTTCATTAAAAAAATTGATATTTCGGGGAAAATTTGAGCTGAGGCTTACATATTTTTTAAATTTTGCTATAAAATGCCTTGTAAAGGGCTACAGTTGAGACTCAGAGATGGAACACTTATATAACACAGGTGGGGCACTGGGTTCAGTCCTCAGCAGCACATACAAATAAATAAAATAAAAGGTAATAAGTCCACGTACAACTAAAAAAATATTTTAAAAAAATGCCTCATAGAAAAAATATAATATAGCAAACTCAGAAGTGTGGGTTAGCAATAAACAATTCAGAAGTCCTGTTATCTAGTTACACTAACATATTTGAGTGATTATTTTTACAATTCTCCTAAGAATGGTATATAGCTTATTATTCCATATGAGCAGGAAAGAAGTTAATTCTCTACATTTAATTGATGCCTTTAGGGGTAGTGACTCTTCAGTGTGGCTCCTGGCCCAACAACATCATTCTCTGGGAACTTGTTAGAAACACCAATTCCTAAATCTAATCTCAGATCTACTGAATCAGAAATGCAGAGGATGGGGGCTAAGCAATCTGAGTTTTAACAGGTACTCCAAGGAGTTCTTTCTGATCATGGTTCAGGATAAGATCCACTGCCTTAGAGCCTCTGGGCTTAATTCACAGAACATAAACTTCTGAGCACAGCTAGTCTAAGCTAGATTTTCATAGCCTATTACTGTTGTTCTAATTTTTCTCCTATTGCCAGCCTTTTCTCCTCTGTTATTTTATGGCAGAGGTCATAATCTATCATGCATATTTGTAGCCCAAAATAATCCACTCTAGTCTAAGTTCAAATATGGCTTTTAGTGGTTGTCAGGAGTCTCTAAAATAATGGCTCTCAGAGTAAGATGAGATAGAGTAAGAGAAGGCTGTACAATATCGGAAAATATTACCTAGAAAACCTTTTCAAAATTCACAAGGCTCTTCCCTATGATCAGGAATTTTAATATGCCTGAGGAGTCATCAAGAAGTGAATAGAGGCAAATATTTATGGAAAAAAATTTTCTATGTAATCACTATGTAATATTCTAACATTGTTTATTGCACCCCTAACCAATCATTCACCTTAGAAATACTGGTCAAATAGTTGCTCTGTTTTTTGTATAAAGACATTGGCTTTTTTGAGTGCCACAAAAAAAAAAAAAATTCTTCCAGTAACTAAAAACAATGCTAAATAGAGTGTTATTTATATACTTGATGGTAAAGTCCAAGAGTGTGAATATAAAGGGGTTAAGAAGCCCTGAGTTACAGCTATACCAAAAAGTTAAAAACACAGACTTAATTCACAGTAAGTAAAGAAGAACCAATTTAGGGAAAAGCTTTTCACTATCTGGGGACAGTAGGATAACATTTGGCAAGAGGATAAATAGCTCTTCACTTCGAATATGAAGACTGAATTTCAGAAGAACTATTAAGCTTCCCAAAGCAAATATACCAAAGAATTTAAAAACATTAAAAATTCTAAAAATCTAGCTGAAGGTCTGCTTTCTCATCAAACATTCAAAAAGATTTAGTCTAAAAGAATAGAATTCTATCATATCTAACTGTAATAATAATTTTCCATGTGAGCTCATTAGTAGGTACCCGAGGTACTGATGCAACATGTGAGGATCTTGTGAATATACTCTAAGCCACTATCTACAGTCAGAGAAAGACAAGTTAAAAAGAAGACTTGTCAGATAGGCTGGGCTCTCCTCTGACTTCAAAAATCTTTTCTTCCACAGAACGGTTTACCCAAGGTTTAACCCATGTTTCCCAGCCATACTACTTTACGGCTGGTAACTGGGGACCAGGAGTATAGAAAAGTGTTGAAGCAAGTTAAGTGGAAACTGGTTTGGGTGGTTTTATAGAACACTGGGACTGATGAAGCCTCAAAAATGATTTAGCATTATTTCTAAAAATGCATTCCAACAAGCTGACAAAAAATACAGCATTCATAAATATGCTATTTTAGCTGGGTGCATGCCTATAATCCCAGTGGCTTGGGAGTTTGAGACAGGAGAATCTCGAGTTTAAAGCCAGCCTTAGCAATTGTGAGGCACTAAGCAACTGAGACCCTAAATAAGATACAACACAGGGCTGGGGATGTGACTCAATGGTCAGGCACCCCTGAGTTCAATCCCTGGTACAAAAAAAAAAAAAAAAACCAACACTTAGTGAGACCCTAAGCAACTCAGCAAGACTCTGTCTCTAAATAAAATATAAAAAAGGGCTGGGGGCAGCCAATTTGGAAAGCAGTATGGAGATTTCTTGGAAAGTTGGGTATGGAGCCACCATTTGACCCAGCTATTCCCCTTCTTGGTCTATTCCCTAAAGACCTAAAAAGGGCATGCTACAGGGACACTGCTACATCGATGTTCATAGCAGCACAGTTCACAATAGCAAGACTGTGGAACCAACCTAGATGCCCTTCAATAGACGAATGGATAAAAAAAATGTGGCATTTATACACAATGGAGTATTACTCTGCATTAAAAAATGACAAAATCATAGAATTTACAGGGAAATGGATGGCATTAGAGCAGATTATGCTAAGTGAAGCTAGCCAATCCCTAAAAAACAAATGCCAAATGTCTTCTTTGATATAAGGAGAGTAACTAAGAACAGAGTAGGGATGAAGAGCAGGAGAAGAAGATTAACATTTAACAGGGATGAGAGGTGGGAGGGAAAGGGAGAGAGAAGGGAAATTGCATGGTAATGGAAGGAGACCCTCAGGGTTATACAGTGGAGGAGGTAGAGAGAGAGGAGGGGAGGGGAGGGGAGAGGTGGGGAGGGGGGAGGGTGGAGGACGGGAAAGGCAGTGGAGCACAACAGACACTAGTATGGCAATTTGTAAATCAATGGATGTGTAACTGATGTGATTCTGCAATCTGTGTATGGGGTGAAGGTGGGAGTTCATAACCCACTTGAATCAAAGTGTGGAATATGATATGTCAAGAAATTTGTAATGTTTTGAACAACCCACAATAAAAAATTAAAAAAAAAAAAAAGAATTATAATGGAAATTATCATGAAAAAAAAAAAGAGAAAAAAAAAAAGGGCTGGGGATGTAGCTCAGGGGTTGAGTGTCTCTGGGTTCAATCCTCAGCACCAAAACAAAAACAAAAAACTCACTGATATTTCAAGAGAGTGTAAAACTAAGAGCAATACTAGTGCATACACTTAACTCATCATTTTGGAGGAAAAGTTCTTTAAGAGCTAGTCATGTGTAGCAAAATCAACACATTTACCTTTATTTTCTTCCGATGTTTTATCTTTGGCACATTTTTATCGGCAGGTCTTACTATTTTATCTGCTTTAATCCATTCATCATATCTAAAATTAAAAGAAACTGATGTAAATATACAAAACATAAAACCACAGAAGAATCTATACCATGTTAAAGAGAAACTTATACACAGAATTGTAACATTTTAGAACTGGAGATCTTGGAGAGCACTTGGTTCAATTTCCTGGGTCTGATAAATAAACTACCAAGGCCCAAAGAGATGTACTTGGCCAAGTTCACAATGTTAGCTACTGGATGAGGCGAGAAGTCTTGACTCCGAGGTGCAGTCCTTACTCTGCTACACAAAAAAGAAACCAAATCTTTATAATAAGTATTTGGAAAAATCACAGTATTTTCTACACTTTCTGTTTTGTTTTGCTATTAAGCAACAAGTAGGCAATTATTTTTTCCAGATCCATCAGAAAGGTAAGGTAACATGGTGACTTTAAATGGCATTATCTGATTTTTAAAAGCCTCCTACTGTAACTTATAGATGATGCAAAACCACCTAGGGATTTAAAAAAAAAAAAAAAAAGCCTGCTCATAAAATACTAGAAAAACATTTTTGTCAAATTTTCAGTATTCTGAGATGCTTACTTCCTATGTGACTAGACAGCTGTAAATCAACAGAGCTATGGTGCCTCTCAATTTAATGCTGAAAGTCTTCATGATTTTACAGGGTGCAACTTAGTACTGATTACAATAAAACTATTTGTTTATGAAAAAAAGGTGTCTTTTTCATTTCTGCAAAATCTTAGAAAGCAAAAACATTAAAAATAAAATGCCGGGCTGGGATTGTGGCTCAGTGGCAGAGCGCTTGCCTCACAAGTACAAGGCACAGGGTTCTATCCTCAGCAACACATTAAAACATAAATAAATAAAGGTATTGTGTCCATCTACAACTAAAAAAAATTTAAAAAATAAAATAAATTGTCATTCACTTTTTGTGTTCTAAAGTTATATACATTATTGCAGAAAAACTCAAATCTTAAACTCTAGAACATGAAAGTTTGAAAAGGAGGTTTTAAATTAATGATATTAAACAAGTTAACAAAGGTCCCAAATGAACAAGTAAATTACTTTGAGTCATGACTTGATAAGGAAATTACATTCTCCTGCTACTATAGCCTAAAATTATCTACAGCAACTTCCAGGCAAAATGACATCCTGCTAGTATAAACTACTGGCTACAGTGAAGTTGAGGACTCAACTCCATGCAAGGGATCATGCCATGGTCTCACCCAATGGAAGCTGCTGAAAGCAACAATGAGAACAGGGAAAGGAATGGAAGGAGCACTGGAAAAGTCTTAATATAATACCTGCTTACTCATCATATGTCCCTATTCTCAATACCAGGCCAAGTTTACCACTGTATAACATAAGACAGCTTTTAAAAATACACTAAAAAATAAGACTACATACCTCATAAAGATTTTTGAGGATCAAATATATGTTAGGTACTCTGAATAGCTTTAAAAAGCAAGTATTATTATTACTTTGGGAACTATTCTGGCAGAGCAGCATCTACTATGCATTTTACCTTTCCTAGCAATACAAAAAATTACATTATACTTTAAAAAGCCACTTAGAGCTGGACAGTAACTCAATAGCAGAGTGCCTGCCTACCATGTATGAGGCCCTGGGTCTAAGGCCCAGCACTGCAAAAAGAAAAAAGAAAAAATTTAGTTCCTTTAAAAATTGTGAAGATGATGGAATATTAACATAAAATACCTCCAATTTCCAACCCTCTGCAAAGTTCAATGTGATTCCTAAAAAGTTCCTATACGAGAATATATTATGGAAGAAGTCAGTGCTATCAAATTTGAATAAAAGAAAACAAATTTCCTATTTGAGATACACTAAAGGCTACATGGTGGCTACACATAACATTAATGTGAAATAAACAAACATGAATTAGTCTTTTTTAAAAACTTTTCTTAACCAAAGACTATTTGTTATATAGTAAAGGCTGGCATTCAGTACCCAAATGCCACAGTATACAGACACTATCTGGTAATCCTCATCTTCTTTCCCGAAATTGTAAAATAAAGATGGTATCAAAGGACTGACTGGCTGTCAGAAGAATTCAAGTAGTGAGCTTTGATGTGGAAAGACCACTGGACCAAGCACTATTACAAGACGCCAATCTAGACTTAGATAGAATAATCTACATAAATAGTTCTTATTACTATTTTCAATAATAGCAATTAATCGCTATGGTCTTAATCATTCTGGGTAACAATCTTGTTTCAAAATTACCATTAAATACTATGTGTGGTTTTGAAAGTATTTGGAAAGTCAGTGGTTATCTTTCTCTCTTTTTTTTTTTTAACTTTTTGTTTTGCAGTAATAAGGACTAAATTCAGGAGTGCCTTAACACAGAGCTACGTCCATAATCACTTTAATTTATTTTTATTATAAAAATTTGAGTCAAGGTCACGTTAAGTTGCCTGAGCTAGCCTGGCACTCGAACTCGTGATCCTACTACCTGAGCCTCCCACATTGCTGGGATTATATGTGTGAACCACCACGGTCACTCTGGTTATATGTCTTGTTAGAGCAATTACATATTAACTTGCAAGTCTATAAAATATTAGCTAATATTATGACTCCTTCATTTTTTTTTCCCCATCCACTTTTTTGGTACTTAACGTTAATTTGTTGAGGTATTCCCTTGTTCTGACACTATTCTTTTGGATTTCTCTTTTCTTAGCCAGAATTCTGCTCATTTTATAAAATGTAGTAAGAATACTGTAATTGTCACTATAATTAACAGCTTTTAGAAGTATAGTGTGTATACTTAAAATCCTAATAACTGTACTTATTTGATAGACTAAGAAATGTCAACAATATTACTGACCTCTTTCAAGTATTCTAGGCTTTCCAAAAGACACTATGTGGAGAATTAGAGAACAAAAGGAAGCTGGGAGCTGTGGTGCACCCCTATAGTCCGGGTGCCTTGGGAAGCTGAGGCAGGAGGATCAAGAGTTCAATGCCAGACTCAGCAAATCAAGGTGCTAAGCAACTCAGCTGGGATGTGGCTCAGTGGTCCAGTGCCAGAGTTCAATCCCTGATACCCAATGATTGGTGTGGGGCATTCCTGGCCTCATCAAAGTAAGCACAGGGAAGACCACTGACTGAAAAAGCCTCATTAAAACTGTACCCGTGGGGCTGGGGTTGTGGCTCAGTCGGAGAGCACATGCCTCACACATGTGAGGCACTGGGTTTGATCCTCAGCACCACATAAAAATGAATAAATGAAATAAAGATATTACATCCATCTATAACTAAAAAAAAAAAAATACCTGTGAACAGGAGGGACACGTGAAAATAATACATGAGAAATTTGGTTGAAAAAAATTTTTTTTAGTTGTAAATGGATTTTTTCAATTTTTGTTGATTTATGTGGTGCTGAGAATCCTACTCAGTGCCTCACACATGGGAAGCAAGTGCTTTACAGCTGAGCCACACCCCAGCAACCAGAAATCTTTTTAAATACAAATGCCCTTACTAAACAGAGGTTGAGACTATGGATACAGACATACAGGCAGACAAATATTTCAAAATATGATGAGGTTTTAAATAGCATTTTAGTTGCCTGGCCAATCTTCCAAGCAAAAAATAATCAGAAGATAGAATAATAATTATAACTGATTATTCTATTTGAAAACAAGAAATGTTTTCCCCTTTATATAATTATCCTTTAGATTATTATACAACTGCTCTTATTTAAAGACTATCTTCAAAGAACAGAAAAGGAGAAATAAATTCATGTGTGTGTGTGTGGGGGGGGGGGGGGGGGTCAAAAAGCTGGGTCCCCAAACCCAACATTCTTTACAGATACCACCTGAAAGGTGAAGGTAGGAGGGATGGTGGAGGCATTCTGAGGCCAGCCTGGGCCACATTAGTCCCACCTCACTAAACAACAAAAATCAACAGACACAAAAAGTGCTCAATATGTATATTACTAATGCCAACTGCTTTAAATAAGGGAAGCAATAATGGGTCAAAATTTCTAATTCTCATCAAATACCAAAAGAAACAACATGAATAAAAAGTAATTCAGTTCAGAACTACAACAAAAAGCTGTAACTGATCCTGTTTAATCTATACAAACTTTAGACTTTTTATTCAGTATATTTAATATAAACTAAAATGACTATGACACATTTATTTTAGGCATAACAGATAAAGTAGTCAATGATGATAAAAAGTGGGCAAATGTAGCTCAAGTTCAAATACCTTGAACACTATTTGAACACCGTATAAAGTAAAGTTACTGAAAAGGCAATAGGAAAGAGCAGAAAACTGCAACTAAGAAACAGAAGACCATAAAATATTTCTTAAATTCTCCTTAGGATACCTTATTGCATAAGATACCTTTTCATGCCTCAAGGAACAGAATGCCTCACCTACTAGGGATGGAACCCAGGGTCACTATACCACACAGCTACACACCCCCAGTCCTTTTTATTGTTTTATTGAGATAGAGTCTCACTAAGTTGTCTAGGCTGGACTCAAAACTTATGATCCTCCTGCTTCAGCCTCCTGAGTAGCTGGACTTACAAGTGTGCATCATTGCGCCTGACTCAAAAGTGCATTGTTGAAGAATACCAGAGTCTTCACAGCTAAGTTAACAAACTTTTTGGTTTTAAAATGTTTCTAGTCCTATTCTTAAGGATCCCCAAACATATGAAAACCCTATCCTCTCAGATACACTGGTTATTCCTGTACAGGGCACTCCAGTATGGCTGGTTTAAACATCACGCAGGCCATCAGGACATTAGCACATTCTGATGGTCATCTGTACTGAGCAGGAAGGACATAGTATTATAACAGCAGCAGATCTTCACAAAAGTCACTTTATACCTAAACAACTAGAATTCTCTCTAAGCACAGAAGGTCTTTTGCCATCAGCTACATGTTTAATGATAATGTAGCTGGAGAACTGAGGGGGAAAAAAACGTAATCTGAGCAGTTGGCCCACAAAAAAATAAAATAAAATAAAAAACATTAAAATGTCTTGCAACTTCAGAATCATGCAATA